GGCGAGCCCGGGCCGCCGCGCCGCCGCCGCTCCCAGCTCGCTCCCCCATTGAACTGACCCGAACGGGAGATTCAACTCAGCCCCTCAGCCCCAAACTCCTCGGGTCGCGGCGGACGCCGCCGCGCGGAGCCGCGGCCCAGCCCGGGTCTCTCTTACCTACACAGTGCATGAGGCGGTGGCGCCAGGAGTCGAGTTCCCGTCGGAATCCTCTCCTCTCCGCCGAGCACCGATGGCTCCCGCACTGTGGGACGGCGGCGGAGTCCATCCTCTCTCTTCCCTGGTCCATCTGCGTCCCGCGTCACGCGCCCTCATTTACATACGAGCGGCGCCCCCGAGGGCTCCCAGGCTGCCAGAGGGATGTCTGACTGCCAGTGCCCCCCGGAGGGGGGTTGATTGACACGTGTCACTAACTTCCCTTGGCCCGACCCTTCCCCTCCCACCGCTCCCACCGGGAGAAGCGCTAGGAGAAGGAAGCAACCTGACGCTTCCGCTGACCCCGCCTCCCCATCCCCTCGCCACCGCCTCCTCCCCCCGGAGTTTACTCCAGCGAGCCATCCTGCTCCCGCCGCCCGCGAAATCCCTGAGCGACAGCGAGAGGCTCCGAGCCCGGCCGGGAACCGGCGTGCGATGGAGCGGACTAACTACTCCTCCCTTCAGCCTTCCCGAAGCGACTGGGGCTGCGCGGAGACTTCACTTCCCAGGCTCCGTTGCGCCGGAGTCCCAGAGCGGAGCTGGACCCCGCGGCGCCATGCATCCTGGTCCTTGTAGTCCCGCAGGGATGGGCACGCTTCAATCCTCCTTGCACGCTTGGGCTTCTAGACCGGCCCTGGACTCGGCCTCCGACGCCCTGCGCCCAGCAATGCTCTACTCGTGTTGCCCAGTCTGACCGAGCCGCCTCAACTTCTTTAGGTTCTGCTATAGAAGGGCGGTGCAAACCGCAAGGTTGACAGCTCCTTGATGGTTCAAGCTGCACTTTGTGCTTTAAGTGCTGGAAATTTGGAGCGGGGAGGGGAGGTCACTGTCATCCCGCCACTGCCGGAAAAAAGCAAGCTGGTCCTGGGGCCGCATCCCAAATAACTGCGAAATATCCAGAGCGATCCCGCCCTAACATCAGTTTCCAGGGCGAAGAGATTTCGGAAAGTGTGAATATGTGTAAGGCTTAAGGAAAAGATACGGAGCTTATCACCGAAAATTATTTACGGAGGCAATTGGGTGTGACTGGATGAAAAACCCCCAAAGAGGAAACTTTTTATCCTCTGCAAAATGTAAACTCCTGGAGGACAGCGACCATTGAGACTTCTGTACCGTGACGTCTTTCACTTGCCTGACGTAGTACAGTGAGTGGCGTGATATTTAGCACTTTACAAATGTTATGGAATGAATTCTACCCTATGCTAGAGAAAATATTTTTTCTTGTTCAGAATGAGCTTTTCATTTAAAATAAACTTGAGTGACACTTTTGACTTTTGCACCACAGCAATTGTGCATGTGTTTCTGTATACGTGCAGGGGGCCGAACCCAAAATTTACTAAGAAGTTCTGTGTATTACTGCAAATTTATGCACAAGTATGTGGGCAATATGTTTTCATTCTTCCTGGAAACTCCTATGATTTCTGAGTTCAGTACTCCCCTCCCTGTTTTGTAGTTTATCCTTATCCACCTTCCCTTGCTTTTTTTTTTTCCCCTACAAGGAAGTATTTCATTGCTTATCACTACCTCTCGACAGTGAAGATATAGTTCTACATTTTCACAGATTAAGAAAATGAAGATTAAAATCTCATGATCACCTTTCTAGAATGGTCACAATTGGAGAAGTAAGTAAAATCACTTGTGAAGGTGCTTTAGGAATTATCAGTGGATAGTTTCAATTACTGATCCCACTTATAATTGCCAACAATGAGCATTTGTAGCTTTTTGATCACTTTTACAGTAATTGACATTAGTGAGGTTGGTTTAGTTTAAGGTGCAGCGACAAGCCCTAACCACGGGTCCAAAATTTTTTGGGGGGTGGGGTGTAGAGCTTCAGAGCAGGTCCTTGACACCAAGCAACCTGATCATTTAGGACAGCCCCAATCAGTGTAACTTCCCCACTGCATGATAGGTCCAAGGAAGATGAATGACAAATTGGTTCTTCCTGAAAGTGATACAAGTCAATTCCATTTACGTTCCTTGGATAAAAGCAAATTATACAGGCATGCCTATTTTTCAAGGGAGCTCGGAAGTGCAATCCTGTTTTTCCAGAAGGAAGATAACCAGAGTTTACTGGTAAAGAGCACCAATGTGTGTAATGTGTTTGTATTTGTTCCCCGCACGTCCTGCGTGGTTCAGGGTTCAGGATCTGGAAGAGGGGCCCCACACAAATGAGAGGAGACAAAAATTGGAAACTGGGAGGCCAGGCGAGAGCCCATCCCAAGAGGATGAACTCCGCTTGTGCTCGGGCCTCGCCATCTTTTCATTCAGTTTGGGATCCACCCATAGCCCTTAGGCCGGCAAGTTCCAGTAACAGGAAGACTAGCCCATCAGCAAGGATTTACATGATAATAGATGGGGAAGTTGCTTCAGCTACCACTGTCTGGACTAAACTGTGGGTGCATAGCCCTGACCTTTACCAGGTCACCAGCCTTCTGGGTTCCTTGTCCACACCTCTCTGCTAGTGAAGACAATAGGTGGCTTCCCACACCAATGATTACTGCAATCCATCTTTCTAGTCATCAATTTACAGTTCACTCTCTTTACACTACAAAATATATTCATCCCTGTCACAAGTGAGACAATCCCAAAGTTCTATTCAGTAATGACATTTATCTCAGTCTAGCATCTCTGGGTGATGGCTGATGGTCCCTATATTAGAACAGGAATAAGCTCCTATTGTTATAGAGACCTCAAAAGATGAAGACTCATCCCTCTCTGCTTACACACACACACACACACACACACACACACACACACACACACAATGCACAGTGGTGGGACAGAGTCAGGGTAAAGGTAAAGAATGAGAGACTCACATATTTTACCACAGCTAACATGGGCTACTAACTTTCCAGCCTCTAACAGTTTCCTTGCCACCACCCATTGAGCCTCTAAGTCACAGCAGAATATTTTAGGTTTTCCATTGTCATAACTCTACCTCCTTCTGGGTACCAATTTCTACCTAGTCAGAATGGGCTAGATCCGTGGTTGGCAAACTGCGGCTCGCAAGCCACATTGTGCAGGCGCAGGTACAGTGCGATTGAAACTTTGTGGCCCATGCGCAGAAGTCGGTTTTTGGCCTGGGTGAGTCTATTTTGAAGAAGTGCTGTTGATATCTGGCTCTGTTGACTAATGAGTTTGCCGATTACTGGGCTAGATTATTCTCTAGTAATGGAGACTCAAAACCTCAGTAGCTTAATACAAAGATTTAGTTCTTACTTAAAGTCCATGTCCTCCAAAAATCAGTGTGAAGGAGGGTGGGGAGAACTCTTCCATGTCCATTCAGGGACCCAGGTTTATGGAGCACCACCACCTGGAACCTCCCCAGTCACCATGACAAGAAAAAGATGTTAAATCACTGTCCAGCTCTTACAGGCTTCTGCCAGAAGTGACATATTTCACTAGGTACAGCAAATCATATGGTCATGCCTAACTTTAAGACAGTAATATATCAGACTAGAGGCCTGGTGCACGAATTCACGTACAGGCGGGATCTGGTCGACCCACCCCAATAGAGGCTGATCAGGCCGGGCTGGTGGGGGGGAGGAGATGTGGGAGGTTAGCTCCCACCCTGATCCCCCAATCGGGGTTGGGGGGAAGCTGATTGGGGACAGGGCCGGCCAAGGGAGAGGGGCCAAGGGAGGTTTGGGGGAGCTGTGATCAGGGCCACAATTGGGCTGGTTGGCTGACACAGTATGTGTCATACCAACTGGTCGTTCTGGTCACTTGTACATATACATATATACACATATATACATATATATATATGCGCGCACACACACACATATATATGTATATAATTAGAGGCCCAATGCATGAAATTTGTTTAAGGGGCTTAGTCCTCACATCCCTGGCTGCCTCGGCCCTCACAGCCTGGCTTCATCTGGAAGGTCATCGGATGGTTGGTCTAATTAGCATATTAGCTCTTTATTATATAGGATAGCTTGCAGGAGTAATCAACTACCCCAAAACTTAATAGCTTAAAACAGTGGTTCTCAATCTTGGCTGCACATTAGAATCACCTGGGAATCTTTTTAAAATCCTGATTTCTGGGCCTCATCCTATGGAAATTCTTTTTCTTTGTTGTGGGGTGGGGCAACAACATTAGTAACAAGGAAACAGAATTTCTGGAGGATGAGGCCCAGAAATCAGAATTTTAAAAAGATTCCCAGGTGATTCTAATGTGCAGTCAAGGTTGAGAACCACCTTAAAACATCAACAATTGATTTAGCTTATAATTCCATGGAGTGACAATTTGTTTGGTCTCAGCTGGATAATTCAACTTACCTGGGCTGTGCTCACTCAGATGTTTGTGATGAGCTTCCCGTTAGAGAGGCAACTCTGTTTCTGAGGGTGAGTTGACTGTCATCTGGGACAACAGACCAAGCAGGACAATAGTCCCTTATCATCAAGAGGCTAGCCTTGGCTTTTTCTCATGGATTTCAAGGTCAGTAAAAGAGCAAGCCCTAATGCACAGGCACTTTAAAGCTTTGGCTTGGGTCACATTTGCTCCAGTCCAAATGGCTAAAGCAATCATATGGCCAAGCCCAGAGTCAATGAGGGTAAATACCTTTTAACAAGAAGAGTTGCAAGTCACATTGCAAAAGGGTGTGGATAGAGGGAAAAAAATAATCTGTGGCCACTTTTGTAATCAACTACAGATGGGAAAGTGTAATGTTACCATGTTCCCTAAAAGAAAGGGGAATAGAAATGTTAATGAACAAAATTAATGAATAGAGTATCTCTAGAATTTCTAGGCCAGCCATCCACAAATCTAAGGATAGAAGAAGGTCATACTCAAGACTGTCTCCTACACTGGAAATCTAGTTACTCTCAAAGGAAATGTTACTGTTCTTTGGAAAGATGTTTTTGTTCTGCAGTCCATTTCCTATATTTAGTGCATCATTTGTTTACTAGAGGCCGGGTGCATGACATTCGTGTACAGCCTGGCCTGCCCCCTCTCGCAGCCTGGGAGCCCTCGGGGGATGACCGACTGATGGCGGTCAGTCCGACATCCTTAGCACTGCTGCAGAGAGGTTCCCACTGGTGGAGAGGTTCCCACCACCACTGCTACACTCGCCAGCCATGAGCCCGGCTCAGGGCATCTGGCTGAGGGGCGCTCCCTGTGTGGGAGCACACTGACCACCAGGGGGCAGGCAGCTCCTGTGTTGAGCATGTGCCCCCTGGTGGTCAGTGCGTGTCATAGTGACTCGTCATCCGCTGTTTGGTCTATTTGCATAGCCTTTTATTATATAGGATTGCTGTGTAACAAA